ACCCTGACCTAACACATCCTAATCTAACCTAATCTAACCTGACTTAACCTAACCTAACCCAGCCTAACCTGACCTAACCTAAAATAACCTGACCTAACCCAACCTAACTTAACCTAACCTGACCTAACCTGACCTAACCTAACCTAACCTAACCTGACCTGACCTGACCTAACCTAACCTAATCTGACCTGATCTAACCTAAACTAACGTAACCTAATCTAACCTAACTTAATCTAACCTGACCTAGCCTAACCTAACCTAACCTAACCTAACCTAACCTAACGTGACCTAACGTGACCTAACCTCACCTGATCTGACCTAACCTAACCTGACCTGACCTGACCTGACCTGACCTAACCTAACCTAACCTAACCTAACCTAACCTAACCTGACCTGACCTGGCCTAACCTAACCTAACCTAACGTGACCTAACCTAACCTAGCCTAGCCTAACCTATCCTAGCCTAACCTAACCCAACCTAACCTAACCCGACCTAACCTAACCTAGCCTAGCCTAAACTAAAGTAAACTAACCTAAACTAACCTAACGTAACGTAACCTAACCTATCCTAGCCTAACCTAACCTAACCTAACCTAACCTAACCTAACCTAACCTAACCTATCCTATCCTAGCCTAACCTAACCTAACCTAACCTAACCTAACCTAACATACTCCTTCTCTTAGGGCAGATTTTCTCTTTATCTCTGTCGCCTGTGTGTGTACATGTGTACTTGTGTACATGTGTACATGTGTACATGTGTACATGTGTACTTGTGTACATGTGTACATGTGTACTTGTGTACATGTGCAATAATGACGAAGAAGCGATACAAGATACAAAACAACCATAGGGGAAGTTGAATGATAGCTGTAGGCCTTTCGTGTTGCAATGAACGCATCATCAGAAGCTTGCAGTGTTGCAGAAATGAGTAGGAAGTCCAGATAGTTTCGTGGTTTAGTCTGTATATCTTGTCTGTGTGTTATTCTCTGTGTAGTTGTGTTATCTATTTCTGTGTGTCTGTATGTCTGTTTATGTGTCTGTATCACTTTTTATGTATGTATGTGTGTTTTATAAATGTGTTAGTGTCTGTTTTATGTGTCTTTGTATGGTTATATATGTCTGTGTCAATTTGTAAATGTGTCTGTGTATACATATCTGTCTATAAATTTGTCTGTGTCTATACATGTCTGTATCTATTAGCACATGTATGTATCTATTTGTGCATGTCTGTATCTCTTTGCACGTGTCTGTGTATTTGTACACATTCGTGTCTGTATACATCTGTGTCTATTTGTACATAACTGTGTGTATACATGTCTGTGTCTGTGTGTGTGTCTACACTGGTAAAAAGAATGACTGCAGTACGTCTGGCAAGGAGGAGACTGAACCTAGCCCTCTAACGTTGAAATATACATGATCGTAACTCCCACCTGAACGAAGTGTACTGGGAGAGTCGAACGTTGAACGTAGATGTTGCACCTTCGTCTTCCTGTGTTTACATTCATTTTTTTTCATTTCAGAGGTGACCTGGCCACGGGACCACAGTCAATCTCAAACAGCCTGGTTGATCAGAGTCTGGTCTAGGACCGGGCCGCCAGGGGACGCTAACGAAGGAAGGAGAGAGAAATGGAGATGATAAATGAAGGAGCCTGGGAGGAATGAGTGGAAAGATTTGATCCGAGGAAGAAGGGAAGCTTCCAGTGGGCTTAAGGAACCATTAAAGGGACAACGATTTGAAGGTGACACAGTGAAAGAAACATAGTGAAGGTGACATAGCGAAGTGAAAGTGACATAGTGAAGGTGACAGTGAAAGCGACATAGTGAAGATGACATAGTAAAAGTGACATACTGAAGGTATGAAAGTAAGAGTGATATACCGAAGGTGACATAATGAAAGTGAAAGTGGCATACCGAGGGTGACATGGTGAAAGTGACATACCGATGGTGATAGTGAAAGTGACATACCGAGGGTGACAGTGAAGGTGACGTACCGAAGGTGACAGTGATGCAGTAAAGATGATAGTGACACAGTGAGGGGGTGGATACAGAAAGTGAGATGGTGTGTGAGGGAGTTAAGGGCAGGAAGGTGACCTAACGGAGATGTCAGGTCAAGGGAAACCTCTCTCTTTCTCTCTCACCTCAACCCCTCCCCCACTACCCTATGCCCCTTCCCCCTTGTCCTCATCTCTCCCAAGGAGAAAGTGAAATGAGTGGAAATGACTGTATCTGAGAGAGGTAATGAGGAGACTTGAGAAGTCTGACCCAGAATGACCGGGGCCAGGATGGAGACATTGGTAGCTCATAACTACCACAACCATCATCACGCTGGCACAGCTGGCACGTGTGGTTGTGGTTGTTTTCCTCAAACAGCTGGTGAAGTAAGCCTGGCAACCCTGGGGAAAAACATCGTTGGTGACCACAGCCACGGGGGAGCTGACCCTCCACCAGTGGGGAGGGTGGAACAGCATCCTGGGAGAAAAAATATTTTGCGAGGGGGTGGTGGAGTGGGGGAGGGGGGAGGGTGGTGGTGGTGCGAGTGCGTGGGGAGGAGAGTAGTGGTGGAAGGGGGTGGTAGTGGTGGTTGTGGTGGTAGTGGTAGTGGTGGTGGTGGGGATGGGCAAAAGGAGCTTAGTATCGCCGCCGCCTCACCAGCGGACGGTCGTGTGTGTAGCCGTGCCTCACCAACCCCACCTCACAGCCCACCCTCCCACGCCGCTGAAACCACGCCCACGCCCCACCCCCCGCCCTCACCCGGGCGTCGTAATCCACGGCACGCCCACGGCAACCCAGTAGTGGAAACAGTAACAGCCAAGGAGAGTGTAGGAGAGACGTTTCAGGTGATCAGTAGTACTAGTGAGGTGTTGACAAGATGTTCTGGGGAGAGTGTTGAGAGTCTGCTCTACACCCCAGACCACAAGACCAACAGGAAGAAGAAGTTTATTATCATCCTTAAAGGTCTGCTGAGCAAGTCGAAGCGTAGTGACAAGAGGAAACATCGTGGGAGGACCAGTGGTACTGTTAGCACTCATGATAGCACCAACTTAGCCCAAACCAAAACTGATCAGTCCATCGCTGAGTTTAGCGACAGTGTAGATGGTAAAATAGTAAGCAGTAACAGTGGTGAAAGCAGAAGTGCTGCTAGCAGGGCAGGACTAGTGCAGGGTGAAGGTAGTAGTGAGAGTAACGTCCCTGAGGCGAAGCAAGGGCTACCTTCCTACCTCCACCACGTTAACTCCCCCCAAGAGGGTGAGCGGCAGCCCGCAGCCGCAGACGACACACCTGCTGATGCTGCGGGTAGAGGGAGCTTCCTACAGGACCCCTGCGGCAGGAATAGTGATGAGAGTAGCGTCGAGGGAGTGTCCCCAACCTGTTTGGGCACGCAGACACAACTAACTCTTCTCTACCACGCTGCTCTCACTCGTAACACTGGCGTAGAAAACGGCACACGACACCCAAATAAGTGTCAGGGAATTGTCACCTCTTCGTCAGTGCCAAACGTTAGTGACACGCAACATCCCGTCCTCCAACACAACACCAGCAGTGAATCCAACCTCCACCAGTGTCACCCAGACACTACACCACCACTTGGCTCCTCTAGTACAACTCAAACCACTCTAGAAAACAATGACGTATCAACTCCCGTTGTAGTGCTTAGTGAATATCGTATTCTTGAGGATAATCGCGAGAATTGGTTCTCTGGTGTAGTTACGACTGGTGCTTCTGAAATTATAGAAAATAATTTTGATAATCGACCATTTCCTGATATTGTGAATGGTAATTCTGAAAGTGCTATAGATAATAATAATCTTGATAATCGACCATTTCCTGATATTGTGAACAGTAATTCTGAAAGTGCTATAAATAATAATGTCGATAATCGATCATTTCTTGAAAATGTGACCAGTGATTATGAAAATTCCTTAGATGATAATCATAATTATCAACCATTTAATAATTTTGTGAATGGTCACTCTCCATTTATTGAAGATATTAGCGATGATCGAACATCTGACGTAGAGTTGTGTTTTCTTGATACTAGTGTTGATGGTGACCATATCAGCCAATCATCGGCCGAGTTTGTTACTGCTGCGTCTGAAACTAGCGTTGGAAAAAGTCTTGTAAGTCCAGACTTACCTAAAGTCTGGAGCCTTAGCCATCCCTGTGATAGTGAGACTGAAGATTTCAACAGGGACATCTTACAAGAGAAGGCTGACTCTCTTCATTCTTGTGATTCTGAGTACTGTTCAGTCTCCCAGTGGGACGACAACACCAGCTGTCTACCGTCGTCTGGTCGTGGGTGTGAGAACACATGCAGTGTCCCAGAGTGGTTGTGTTTACCCCAAGACGCGCAACACAATGGGTTTGGAGCAGGTTCTGACGAGGAGGATTGTGTTCTGAACAATACAGAGAGCGGAAGTGAGGCAAGCGGCAGTGCTCCAGTGCTTGAGGACTTTACCTGTCGGCCGGAGCCACACTGTGACCGACTCACGCTACACGGACCAGCTACTACTGCTGTTGCTGCTACTGCTGCTGAGGCTGCAACACACACTCCGGAAACAGAGTCATTAAGTGGTTCGCTTAGTGACTCGGACCATAGCGACAGCAGTGACGACTATGATCTCCCTCCTGTTGACGACAGCGTGTATGATCTGCAGTTCGATCCTTACTTTTACCAAGGAAGCATTTCCCTAGAGGACATCCCAGACGACCAGCCCATAGATTACCCTTGCCCCTATGACGTGAACGGGGAATACGTGTCCGCTAGCAGTCGCCAGTATAATCCACACTTTTCCTATATAGACAACTGGAAGTACAACCCCGTCACAACCCCCGGAGATCTATACAGGAGTCAGAGTCATCCAGAAGACATCAGTCATCGCCACTACGAAGACGAGCCTTTGGACGCCAACGCCCCACTTCACGTATTCCTGAGCCAACCTCTTCCCTCCCAGGTCTCGACAGGCTTCTCTCTAGAGACGACACTTCTCAGGCCCAGGAAACGGGGAGAATTCAGTTCGTTGTGTAGTTTCGGCGGCTCACAACTCTACACCATCACTGAGGAGGTTGAGAGCGACGACTACTACGACGACTTCCACACCAGGAGGAATTACTCAGAGTCTGATCTCTACTGTGGAGATCCAGAGGGGTTCTACAGTGACTCGCACTACATCAGTTCCGACCTGTACTACGGTGATACAGACTCTGAGAGTGAATCGACTATTCACAGTGAACTGTCAGACTTCAGGCTGTCGACAGAAACTCTTGAACAAGACTCAGAAGAGTTTGAGGAAGCTGACCAGTGGTCGCGGGACGCCACCGATGACAATCAAGTGGTTTCTGAGATTAATATTAATCCGTTTTTTGAATCTTGCTCAGATAAAACTAAATACATAAATAACCACTCCCAGAAACACACTATAACATACGAGAACCCGGAATGCATCTCTGAAACTTCTCTGATAGAGAATTCAACTTCACCTTTTGAAGAAGTTGAAGATTTGCCTGTTCTGGACTCCGAGAGTTCGTGTCAGGGTGAGTACCCAGATGAATTCTTCCTCTTTTGCTCCGAGGCAGAGATCACAGACATGGAAGTGATGGAGAAGGTCGATATGTTACCCTACAGCAACAATAAAGACGACTTCACCTATTTCAAGGTGGAGGGTAAGGTGTCAGGCAGGAGTAGTCCTGCGGACCAAGACTTTCTCTTGGAAAGTTACACCTGCAGCGTGGAGAAAAACAACAGCTACACGAACGCTGACAACAGCAGGAAGACCACAACTGCCGTGCCTTACAACTCTTTCTGGGAAGGTAACGTTAATGGAACGGCACATGGAAGAAAAGAATCCTACACTCCTGTCTACCAGAACGTACTCGTCAACACCCGCCTCTCCAAGTCTAACCCGAATCTAGCTAGTATCACTGACGAGGTTGAGCATTCTAGGCAGGTGTCGCGTCCTGTGTATCAGAACGTTCCAGTGTCAGCTAAGAGGTACCATCTGCCAGCCACCGAAGATGATATCAATAATGCCAACGTATATGACAGGAACAGTAATTACCCGGATTACCGGAGCGAGGAGATACACGTCAATAAATGTTATTCCCCGTACATGAACGTGCCTTACAGCGGGCCGAGAGGAGAGGCATCAGCTCAATATCGAAGTGAGTCTCAGATGACATCATCGAGCTCCCTGGTGGGTAGCTTGGACCTCCTGTCATCGAACGGTTATGGTGACACGCACTTTGAGGAGCACCACCATAGCCGAGACCTAGAGTCTATGAGATATCGAAGCCAAAGGGCCAGCCAGGACCTGAGATTTGTGGGAGTTGCTCAGTGCCCACAGGTTGAAGCCTCTTTTGGCCTCCACAACCCGAGCTTCCTGGACAGAGAGTCATCGACTCGAAGTGCGGCAGCCTTCAGCGCCTACGCCTCCAACACCAGTCTTGATCACGATACCTTCTCCAAAACATCAAAAATCTACAAGTGGAACGGGTCCTCTTCAGTCTCAGACCTGACTTCGCTGAACCGTGACCTCTCACCCAGTCCCCCTGGGCTCACAAGAGGGTCAGCTTCGGCCACTGACCTGAGCCGGGTCACCCCTGACGAGGAGGGAGGCATACCCAGGAGGGCGTCCCTGGGGGAGACCAGCTACGCCGCCTGGTGTGCCCATGTTCACGAAGATCAAGACGGACAAGAAGAGTTCGTCCTTTCTCATGGCCACAGAAATACATCTCCCTTCGTCTTCACTCCTCACCCGAGTAAGTACTACATATTTTGCCCCTAATCAATATATTATGTGTGCAAAACAACCACAGTGAAAAAATAGTGAAATTCCAAGCGCTTTCGTGATTTCTCACATTGATAATGTGAGAAATAAAGCGAATGCGCTTGGAATTTCACTATTTTTTCACAGTGGTTGTTCTGCATATTGTGATATCACCTGTTTACTGTGATCTTACTGCATACATGTATTATATATATATATATATATATATATATATATATATATATATATATATATATATATATATATATATATATTATATTATTATATATATATATATATATATATATATATATATATACATATATATATATATATATATATGTATATATATATATATATATATATATACATATATATATATATATATATGTATATATATATATATATATATATATATATATATATATATATATATATATATATATATATATTATATATATATATATATATATATATATATATATATATATATATATATATATATATATATATAAAAGTACAAATCCATGTGTTACTTTCTTGTGTCTCAGGTGTTCCACGTAATGATTTGTATTTCACTCAGCGCTGCATAATCCTGGTGGGTTTAGCGCTTAGTTTTGACTATAATAATTGTGTTTCACTACTTGCGAAAAGAAAAGGAAATATATGTATGTGTACTCACCTATTTGTAGTTGCAGAGGTCGAGTCGCAGCTCCTGGCCTCTGTGTGTGTGTATGGGATCACCTCGTAATGTCAGTCAGGTGTTGTAAGCCACAGTTATGTTAGGAAAACAAACACATTATCTTTGTTTTACGACAACTTGACCTTGCTATTACCTCTGAGGTTGCAAAAGGTGCGGAGGTGCCATGAAACGTAAACAAATATAGTTTTGAAAAAAAACGGCGAAGAGGACCCTGATAGCATGCATTGTTGAGGAGGCTGACAGGTATTGGTCTAGTTCATTACCATCGTCAGCGCACCTTTGTATCTCTTCTCTGTACCTGTGTCTTATTGTTCTGTACCTGTGTCTTATTGTTCTGTACCTGTGTCTTATTGTTCTGTACCTGTGTCTTATTGTTCTGTACCTGTGTCTTATTGTTCTGTACCAGTGTCTTATTGTTCTGTACCAGTGTCTTATTGTTCTGTACCTGTGTCTTATTGTTCTGTACCTGTGTCTTATTGTTCTGTACCAGTGTCTTATTGTTCTGTACCTGTGTCTTATTGTTCTGTACCTGTGTCTTATTGTTCTGTACCTGTGTCTTATTGTTCTGTACCTGTGTCTTATTGTTCTGTACCTGTGTCTTATTGTTCTGTACCTGTGTCTTATTGTTCTGTACCTGTGTCTTATTGTTCTGTACCTGTGTCTTATTGTTCTGTACCTGTGTCTATTGTTCTGTACCTGTGTCTTATTGTTCTGTACCTGTGTCTTATTGTTCTGTACCTGTGTCTTATTGTTCTGTACCTGTGTCTTATTGTTCTGTACCTGTGTCTTATTGTTCTGTACCTGTGTCTTATTGTTCTGTACCTGTGTCTTATTGTTCTGTACCTGTGTCTTATTGTTCTGTACCTGTGTCTTATTGTTCTGTACCTGTGTCTTATTGTTCTGTACCTGTGTCTTATTGTTCTGTACCTGTGTCTTATTGTTCTGTACCTGTGTCTTATTGTTCTGTACCTGTGTCTTATTTTATGTGTTCTGTACCTGTGTCTTATTGTTCTGTACCTGTGTCTTGTTGACCTGTGTCTGTCTGTACCTGTGTCTTATTGTTCTGTACCTGTGTCTTATTGTTCTGTACCTGTGTCTTTGTGTCTGACCTGTGTCTTTGTTCTGTACCTGTGTCTTGTGTCCTGCTGTTCTCGATCTGTACCTGTGTCATTGTGTGACCTGTGTCTTGTCCTGTACCTGTGTCTTGTGTGCCTGTGTCTCGTCCTGTACCTGTGTCTTGTGTGCCTGTGTCTCGTCTGTACCTGTGTCTTGTGTGCTGTGTCTGTCCTGTACCTGTGTCTTGTGTGCCTGTGTCTCGTCCTGTACCTGTGTCTTGTGTGCCTGTGTCTCGTCCTGTACCTGTGTCTTGTGTGCCTGTGTCTCGTCCTGTACCTGTGTCTTGTGTGCCTGTGTCTCGTCCTGTACCTGTGTCTTGTGTGCCTGTGTCTCGTCCTGTACCTGTGTCTTGTGTGCCTGTGTCTCGTCCTGTACCTGTGTCTTGTGTGCCTGTGTCTCGTCCTGTACCTGTGTCTTGTGTGCCTGTGTCTCGTCCTGTACCTGTGTCTTGTGTGCCTGTGTCTCGTCCTGTACCTGTGTCTTGTGTGCCTGTGTCTCGTCCTGTACCTGTGTCTGTGTCCCTGCTGTCCTGTACCTGTGTCTTGTGTGCCTGTGTCTCGTCCTGTACCTGTGTCTCGTCCTGTCCTGTGTCTTGTGTGCTGTGTCTGTCTGTACCTGTGTCTCGTCCTGTACCTGTGTCTTGTGTGCCTGTGTCTCGTCCTGTACCTGTGTCTCGTCCTGTACCTGTGTCTTGTGTGCCTGTGTCTCGTCCTGTACCTGTCTTGCTCACAAGGTTGTTATGGATATGGTGAATTAAAACTATTAAAACGTTTTTTTGTAATTATGGAACAGTTGTTTTCAGTGAAGTCTGATCAGTGTGTTGCACTTTACTGCATATTATGAGGCGTTCAAACGGTATGCAGGCTCGATTCTCCGTCCATTAATCTCGAACCCGTCTCTCGTTAAATTTAATTACAGTCAGTTATAAAAAATAAGAAATGTTTGGACAATGTTAAATTTGAGAAGCAACTAATGTTTTTAAGAGCAAATATGAAAGGGTACCATGGTAATGTTTAGGGGTTGTGTGTGTGTATGTACTCACCTGTTTGTGGTTGCATGGGACGAGTTACAGCTCCTGGCCCCGCCTCTTCACTAGTTGCTACTAGGTCCACGTCTTTCCCTGCTCCATAAGCCTTATCATACCTCTTCGTAAAGCTTTGTTTATATCTTCCCTCCACTACATCACTCTCCAGATTGTTCCACTTCTTGACAACCCTGTGACTAAAGAAATACTTCCTAACATCCCTGTAACTATTTAAGTTTTCAACTTCCAGTTGTGAGTGTGTGTGTACTCAGTGAATTGTTTGTGGGGGGTCGAAACTCAGCTCTTGGCTCCGTCTCCGCCTGCTAGACCACCTTGATCATCATCACTGGCTTCTGGCCTCTTGGATCATGTCGTATCTACTCTTGAAGCTGTGTGTTGAATTTGCCACTACCACTGCCTCATCCAACTAATTCCACTTTTGCAACCATCCTGACGCTTATTGACTCATCTGTGTCTTTACCTTCCCGTATCCACCTCAGCGACAGAGAGAGAGAGAGAGAGAGAGAGAGAGAGAGAGAGAGAGAGAGAGAGAGAGAGAGAGAGACAGAGAGAGAGAGAGAGAGAGAGACAGAGAAGCAGTAATAACATCGTCCTCACCTCATTGCGATATCTAAACAGATTAGTTCATGGCTCACCTTATCTCTCCTCTTGTTGAATTAGTGTCAGTGATGACATTAATTCTCTGAGTCAGTGTCAGTGGTGTCAGTAACTTAAGTTAGTGTCACTGGTGTCAATAACTTCCCAAGTTTGTGTCAGTGATGTCAACAACTCTAGTGTCGTGTACGAATGGTATATAATACCGACAAGATGAGAGTAAGACACATGTGCAACATCTGGGTATCTTTATTGTAGACGTTTCGCCATCCAGTGGCTTTATCAATACAAATTCTAGGACATAACTTGAAGACAGTAGAACTATGTACAGAAGATGAGGTAATCAGTCCCTCAACCTAGGAGTAGGTGCGAACAGCACCACGACTATGGTGCTGTTCGCACCTACTCCTAGGTTGAGGGACTGATTACCTCATCTTCTGTACATAGTTCTACTGTCTTCAAGTTATGTCCTAGAATTTGTATTGATAAAGCCACTGGATGGCGAAACGTCTACAATAAAGATACCCAGATGTTGCACATGTGTCTTACTCTCAACTCTAGTGTCATTGGTGTCAGTAACTTAAGTTAGTGTCAGTAGTGTCAATAACTTCCCAAGTTAGTGTCAGCAGTGTCAATAACTTCCCAAGTTAGTGTCAGTGGTGTCAATAACTTTTCAAGTTAGTATCAGTGATGTTAACAACTCAAGTTAGTATCAGTAACTTCTCTAGTTAGTGTCAGTGGTGTCAACAACTCAAGTTAGTGTCAGCAGTGTCAATAACTTCCCAAGTTAGTGTCAGCGGTGCCACAACCACAGGTAGTCGGCAACTTTTCTCTTGGTTAGGTTGTGTCCACAATACTATCTTCAAGAGGCGACTCTAGAAGTTCCTCAAGTCAGTTCCTGATCAGCCGGGCTGTGGTGTGTACGTTGGACTGCAGGCAGCTGGTACCAGCAGCCTGACTAATCAGGCTAGCAACCAGGAGTCCTGGTCTGGGAGGGGGCCGCGGGGGGTGGCGACCCCCTGAAAGTAACGGCAGGTCACCTACAGGCAACACTTCTGTTCTGCATACACGGCTCCCAGAACACGTGGAGAGTCTGCCAGACGGTGATTGATGCTGCTCCAACCCTACCTGGCCATGTGAGGGGAAGGGTGATACAAGGAGATGTCTTCCTTGTACTCGGAAAGGAAAGAGGTGAGATCATTTCCCCCCTCTCTCTCTCTCTCTCTCTCTCTCTCTCACACACACACACACACACACACACACACACACACACACACACACGTGCTAAAGGAATAACTGGGAAAGTGGGGAGATGGATCTTCAACTTCCTAACAAATCGAACACAAAGGTGGGGTAAACCAGAGAAAAATCGGGGGCCCTTTTGTAAAGAGCTCTGTACACACACAAACACAACAAATCTTTAAACTTTAAAGGGGTTGGACATCTTTTGGGTTGGTTGGAAATTCTGAGAGATAAGTGCAAGTCAGGACCTGTCTTCTGTCTTTCACACGTTGACCGGCCTGTGGGCTATTGT